TGTCAAAACTAGAAATTCACCAAAATCTCATGTATATGGTAATAATTAAATCTCTTTTATGTCATGCTACAAGTACATGTATAAACATGTATATGGTATTTCTCTCATTGGTCTACCTCTCATTATCCCTTACTCACCCAGCAGCAGTGTGTACAGCAACCAGCCCAGTCTTTATTTCATGAATATTTTCAATCAATTCAATAATTGCTAAATATAAAAAATAACATTACAGCAAATTTTATGGGGTACTATATAGCCCATGGTTTTGTTCAAAAAATGGCTCCGAAATCACCCCAAATTTTTATTACATTTTCTGATACATATTGATGTCCTTATGCCATGTAGAAAGTTTGAGCTGATTCTGACTTTAATTTTTTAAGTTATGGCCATTTTAAGAAAATGCCAAAATTCTGAAAAATACCCTGTACTATAGCCCATGGTTTTTTCCAAAAAATGGCTCCGAAATCACCCCAAATTTTTATTACATTTTCTGATGCATATTGATGTACTTATGCTATGTAGAAAATTTGAGCTGATTCTGACTTCAATTTTTTGAGTTATGACCATTTTAAAAAATCGACCAATTTCCCTGTACTATAGCCCATGGTTTTTTCTGAAAAATGGCTCCAAAATCACCCACAATTTTTATTACATTTTCTGATACATATTGATGTCCTTATGCTATGTAGAAAGTTTGAGCTAATTCCGACTTCAATTTTTTGAGTTATGGTCACTTAAAATGCAATAAAAATTCCCTTAGCTTTTCTTATTACTAAAATTTAATACTAACATCTACTATGTACTGTACATGCACAATATCAACTCACTGAAATGATCATTAGGAGTAGTTCCATCCGATGGCCAGTTTGATATTTGGAACATTGTCAATGCTTGATGACTCTCATTCATGTCCGACTCAATTTCTAAATTAGAAGCCTAAAAGAGAAAGGAAAAGAAGGAAAAATCATAAAGAGAAAGAAAGAAGTTAAATCAATCAAAAACAATAATAAATATTTTAAAGATTGCGTATAAATTTACAAAATACTATACACAGATATATACTTGTACATGTAACTCCCAGTATTAGGATTAAATGTTATTAAATAGTTACTTTAATATTTTTAAATTCGTCTCTATCAGTTAGCGTAACAGTGATGTCTTCTTCATACCACTCCAGTGGCTCACTGTCCGGCCAATACTCATCCTAAAAATAAATAAAACAAGAAAACAATTTTACTCGATGAACATAAAACATTACAAAAGGAAAGAGCCAATAAGCAATTTATTGAACAATTTATTGAATGAGCAAGCAAAGCAATTTTATATACAGTAGAGCTTATAAACCAATTTATAGTTAGCTTTGAAATAACTTCCAATTTTTCACTACGTTTCATACTACCAATATACCTATGTACATGTACAATGTACAAAGCAACAATGAACACGAGGTCTTCGCTATATACTGTATAGCGCAAAATTTTTGAGGGCTGTAAATTCAAATTTGCCTTTTAAAAAAATCTATATTGCGGATTTAATTATCATGAATTTATGCTGTCTGCCATCTTGTACCGTAATAGTTTTGATTTTCATGAAAGTAATTGTCATAAATCTTCAAAAAATTGTAGAATCCGCAAAACTTACAGCCCTCAAAAAAATTTGTGCTAAATGGTAAACTCAATATAATAATAATGTAGGCATACCTCTTCTTCAACTGATCCTAGTACCACGAGTACGTTCACATGTCTCTCCAGCATCATCTTCCAAAAGTCCATTGAAGTGTCAGCCAGCGGATGCTGTGTTAGTACGTACTCGGCAGTTCTACCTAAACACTATCAGGATAAAGAAAGAGAGAGAAGACAGAGTAGATAAAGTGTGTTTATGTACATGCATAAATACTAATAATAGTACATGTATAAATACTAATAATAGTACATGTATACATATACATATACAAATACATGTAGATACTATAGATACATGTACATGTACATGTAGATGTTCATGAAGTGTGTGGTACTACCGTACTATACATGTAGTGTGGACTAACTTACTCCAACAAAGCTGGCATTGATGTAAGTGTTACCCATACTCCCTTTACTTAGTGGGACACGATTGAAATCAACTATAAAGAAAGAGAGAGAGAGAGAGAGAAAGAGAGAGCTAGTAATATCAAGAGTACATATAAGGCTTGCATATACATGTACATGTACATACATGTAGTACATGTACATACATGTAGTACATGTACATAGTACACATGTATAGGAGCTGTTAAAACTGCTGTATAGTGAAGTACAATAGACACTCTATTATTCCATAAACATGTTAATTATTGACACTGACACTTTCGTGTTAAGCTATTATTATGTTCACTTAAAAGGGTTCAGTTCTCTCCTTTTATTGTTTTATCTTTTTCTTTCCTCTCTCTCCCTCCCTCTCTCTCTCCCTCCCTCTCTCCCTCTCTCTCCTTCCCTCCCCCTCTCTCTTTCCCTCTCCCTCCCTCTCTCTCTCTCCCTCCCTCTCTCTCTCTCCCCCCTCTCTCTCTCTCTCTCCCTCTCTCTCTCTCTCTCTCTCTCCCTACAAGGCAGTCCTGCTCCTTCTCTATTCTTCCAGGAGTTGTTAGGGTTGAATGCGTCCTTCATTACACTGGATCAGGTCTAATGATG